AATAATTAAGTCAGAGCTAGACAACAAGAATCCATAGCAAACGGCCAACAGCCTCATAATTTATATAGTGTCCTGCGTGTTCATTTGGGGCTGATGCAACTCTAGGACCAGGTTGGCGGGAAGAATGCTTGTTACAAAGGAGAATAAATATTGAGTGGCAGAGCACTTGTCTAGTGTATGCTCAAAAAATTATGCATGCAAACAAATTTCCTTATTTTAAAAGTTCTTTTTAAATTCCTCATCTGGTAGCAGATGGAGTGGAGCATATCCATCATCCCAAATACTAAGATGGTTGAAATGAGAGGGTTAATTGGCTCAGTGGTTGGAGTGGTAGCAATACTCCTTCTCAAGAGAAAATAAGTCTTTGTCAAAGGTACCCATCATAAGTGTGGTAGTTTGAATATAATTGGCCTCCATAAACTCTCAGGGACTGACGCTCTTAGGTATGGCTTTGTTGGAGTAGGTATGGCCTTGTAGGAGGAAGTGTGTCACCATGGAGGAGGGCTTTGAGGCCTCATATATACTCAATTCTTGCTCAGTGTCTCAGACCACTTCCTGTTGCCTTCAGGTCAAAAATATGAGAACCCTCAGATCCTTCTCCAGTACCAGGTCTGCCTGCATGCTGCCTTGCTTCCCACCATGACAATAAAGGACTAAACCTCTGAACTGTGAGCAAGGTTTTCTTTTGTAAGAGTGGCCAAGGTTATGGTCTCTTTACAGTAATAGAAACCCTAAGACAATGAGCAATCTTGTATAGTATTCATTAATATTTCATGGTGTCGTTTCTCTATTCAAGAAAAAGTGATGCTAATCACTAATTCAATCTGCTGTGTTGCTAATAATTTATAAATATATTGTAATTATGTTCTCATTAATATTTTAAATTCTAAAACTGCTGTTTTAAGTAAAATGCAAAAATTATGTTGTAGTTGCTCAGTAGAAGTATTTTATCCCACCTGCCCATTAGTATACATATATCAAGTGTAACAAAATCAATTTCAGGACTTTGCTTTGTTCAGTAGTCATGGGGAGTAAATTTGCTTATAACACTTTCAAGAAAGTATGTTATTGTTTGTAAAATACACTCACAGTAAACCAACAAGTTTCATTGGTTCTTGAACATCTAAAGCAATATATTTTGTGAAAAGAATACAGAACAATGCAGCTTGATGACTTCTGTAGGTTTCACTCACTGTCAAAGAGAACAAGAAAGATTGACAATTCCACTTAAATTATCTCTTCTCAGGCAAAGGTATGTTGCCAAATAAAGGCGATAGGTTTACTACCTTGCCTCAATTGTGATGAATAACAACTACTTTTGTGGGCTATTTGCAAAACACATTTCAACTACAAAGAGAAGCTCCTAAGGATGCTATTGTTTTTGCTTGATTTGTTGGGTGTGGTGATATGGAGGGTTTGTAAAAAGTTGAAATTCTTCAAGAGCAAAAAGTAAGGACATTTTCCACCAAAGCATCTGTGTCACATATCCACATGCTGAAATTATTCTTTTGAATTAGAATATCAAGATTATCTTCTATAACCCACCCAGTGGTTTTCTAGTTCATGTTCAATTTAGGATTCACTAGTCAGCCAACACTCATTCAGCCATCAACTCTGTGTGTGACTCTGTAAGGGGAAAAATTATTAATAAGATGCATTCATTAAGGAGTTATACTCCAATAAAAAGACAGAAGAATTCACATCTAATACAAGGCAAAGTGCTGAGTGTTTCAGCAGAGGCAGGAAGGATTCTGGGAGCAAAGCAGGAGAGGATGGTGGTTAACAAGGTACACCAAAGATGAGGTGGCCTCGGAGGTGTTGGAGAAGAGCTGAGATCCCAACAGGTGCTGCCTACCAGATGGGAGTAATCTACCCCAGACCTCCCATCTGATTCTCCAAAAACCTTTTCTTTATTTCCTCCTCCCTCCCTCCATCCCTTTCTTCCTTCCTTCCTTGGAGGATTGAGACAGGGTTTCTCTGTCTAGCTCAGGCTGTCCTCAATCTCACTCTGTAGACTAGGCTGGTCTCAAACTCAGAGATTTGCCTGCCTCTGCCTCCCCAAGTGCTGGGATTAAAGGTGTGTCCCACCACCACACCAACTACTTTCTTCTTTTTCATAGCTCTCAGAGCACATCTTACATCTGTCGTGCTTCCTGTTTGCCCGCCCATACTAAACTGTGCTCTGACATTTTCATTCATTGAGCTACATATTTTGATGCCAAGAAATTCTTGCTCATTGTTACTAGGAGATAGCTCAGTGAGTGGGTAAGTACGGACCAAAATTTGATCCCCAGAATCCACATTTTTTAAAAAAAGCCAGGCATGGTGATGAGCTTGTCATCCCAATGCTGAGGAGACAGGCAGAGACCAAAAGATCCCTGTGGCTCATGGGCCAGTCACCCTAACCTACTTGTTGAGTGAGTTCCAACCTGGTAAGAGATGGTAGTGGCTGGTTTTATCATCAACTTGACACAAGCTAGAGTCATCCGCGAGGAAGAAGCTCAGTTGAGGAAATGCCTCTATGAGATCCAGCTATAAAGTAGTTTCTCAACTGGTGATCCATGGGAGGAGGACCCAGCCCATGGTGGGTGGTGTCATTCCTGGGCTGGTGGTCCTGGGTTTCATAAGAAAGCAGGCTGAGCAAAGCAAAGGAGGCAATCAGTAAGCAGCAACCCTCCATGGCCTCTACATCAGCTCCTGCCTCCAGGTTCCAGTCCTGATTGAGTTCTGGTTCTGTCCTCCTCCAATGGTAGGCTACAACGTGGAAGTGTAAGTCAAATAAGCCCTCTCCTCCCCAGCTTTCTTTCTGGTCATGGTGTTTCATTACAGCAACAGACACCCTAACTAAGACAGAGAACGTGTCTAAGAAAAGGAAAGGAAAACAGCTGACAACGTCTGAGAAGCAACACACAAGATCATCGTCTGGTTTTTACAAGGACACACAGGAAGTAAACCAGGAGTGGGGCATGGGGAGAGAGCTAAGGGAGCATAGGCAACGGAATACACCAGGAAACATACACTACTCACTGCCTTATTTCCAATGGTGACCAATTGCTCTGTAGCATGAATAAATGTAAGCTTTCCAAAGATGATTATAATCTAGTCAAAGGCAAGCATTACAGGAACAGGATGTGGCAGGCTTTTTCTCTACTGTGATGCATGCATGTGACTGATGGCATCCACATGTCCCATGATCCCACAGGTAGACAGGTGGGACTTCTTGTGTGCTGTCTGTTATCTGCCCAGACTCTACCTCAGTCTCTCTTACTTAGGAATCAGTTCTTGAAAATAAGAGCCAAGGATGTAGCTCAGAGGTAAATCATTTTGTTGGCATATGTGAGGTCCCATGTTCAATCCTGAGCACAGAAAACAGAAATCAATAAATAACAATGTGTGCTATTATAATCCCTTTCACTTGGTTGCTTACAGCATACAACTGGTTTCGGCACATTTGCATATTAAATCATTGGCATTGGAATTAACAGGTGTTACTGGAAGGCAGGTGTTACTGGAGGCATCACAAGTTACAGGTAATACAGTAGTGTTTAATTGGTAGATAATATTAATTTTCACAGACATTCCTGGGAAATCACCAATTCAAATGAATCTTACAACAGGGAAATCAGGATGTGTGGCAAACAATGCAGACATGGCTGCAGAGCAGCTTCAAATCAGCGCTCTGGATAAATACCGCAGCGGGAGCTGAGCTCTTGCCATGGCAGTACACGGATACTGTGGACTGAACTCTGCTACTACAGACTAGGCAGCTGTTCTCAGCTTAAAAGGGAAATCAATTGCTACTCTATTGCCATTTAATATCGCTATTCACTGGCTCGAAAACATCTCAAATGAGAAAATTTGAAACAAATAATTGCAGAAATCAAAGCCTGAGGCAGAATCCTCTTCACCAAAGGGCTTCTTCATTTCTTTCTTGAATGCAAGAGACATGTGAAATCCTCACTATAAGCTAAACCCGGATTTACACTGGAGGCCAAAAAGAAAATTAAGGCAAGATCTTTGATTTGAAATAGATTTCATTTTTATGGATCGACAGCCATGGTTTTTGGCTTTGGTGTCTCCTAAACAGTAGCTCTTTCATGCAATTATCTAATCAGACACTGGCCTAGAAATTTTCAGGAGAAAAAAAATCTGGCTGGGGGTTGTTGCCACACACCTTTGATCCCATCACTCGGGAGGCAGAGGCAGGTGGATCTCTGTGAGTTCCAGGCCAGCCTGGTCTACAGAGCAAGTTCCAGGACAGGCTCCAAAGCAATACAGAGAAACCCTGTCTCAAAAAAAACAAAACAAAAGAAAAGAAAATCTGATAAAATAAGTAGCAACTCCCGATGGACCATTTCCGTTGGATGCTGTGAGTGAACTATGAGACAATAGTTTAAAGGGAAACTTTGACACCTTCAAATCCCTTGTAAAATGCTCCTAAAAAATACTAGAGATTCTGTCCCTTCTCGTGTGAGAAAACTTGTGCTGGAAATAAAAAGATGACCAAGTAGATTCAGCTTCCTAGTCAGGGTAGTCCTGTAAGATCCTGAAATTCAAGTTCAAAGTCGGCCTGAGACTCCCACACTCTCCTTAAATAGCTGCTGGCCAGGACACCTTTGTCGTCTGTCAGTGGAGCGTCTCAGTCCTTCCGGAATGTTAGGCCTGGGGCAGGCCGGACCTGGAGAACAGCTAGAGCTGCAGATAGCAGAGTCGACTGCTTGGCCAAAATCCAACTTGTTCGATTGGCTGGCAGATCTGTACAGAATGGAGATAGAGGGACTGATGTGTTGGATGCAGCAAGGGCTTACCAGGCACAAGGCCTTACGCTGGTCCTCAGCATCACAAGAGATAGGAACAGAAAGAGGAAGCCTCAATATCAGACGCCAGGCTTGGCGACCCAGCCCAGGGAGGGAGCTAGCTGGGCTGTGAAAGCAAGGGGTAGCCTCAGGCATGTCCTCAAAGCTATCACCTTTCCTCTGGAGCCAGGGAAGAAAGGCAATGAATGCTCTAGACCCCAGTTAATGAAGGAAGCAGCTTGAAAACCACAGGATTCCCCGCGCATTTTCAGGAATCAGATTCACTTTCATGTTTGCCAAGCCAACTCAAGCACGCACAGCAGCTGTTTTGCAGCACAGCAGCTGTTTTGCCGAGGCTCCTGGAGTCCCACTGTAACCGGTAACTTTTTGGTCTGCAGGGTCAATCAACTGCCCTCAGTCTGTGCAGCCGCCTCAATGCCTGGCTTAGAGAAGTGTTTTTCCCCTCAACTCTTTGCCGTAGAGGTATGGGTTACAATGAGATTTCCTGAAAAAAGATCCAAGACTATGATTCTATTTTCTGTCCCTTTAAATATCAGAGAGAGAGAGAGAGAGAGAGAGAGAGAGAGAGAGAGAGAGAGAGAGAGAGAGAGAGAGAGAGAGAGAGAGAGAGAGAGAGAGAGAGAGAGAGTTCAAGCTTGTTTTTTTAATCAACAGAAGATGCCAATTGTGGATACAGAGGGATTTGGAAAGGCTAGGCATATCTTTCAGTCTTATTCAAATTCTTGTGTATATGTTCCGAAGCAAGCAGAAGAGGACCTGTCCAGGTTGCTGTGGGTGGTGAACTTGCTACCCCTCCCTGAGGAAAGTTCAATTCTGTACTGAGTTTGGACTCCCTGGTAGCAAAGAGGTTCTGTAATAGAAAATCCTTTCAAATGCAGAGAGTTTGGGAAAATGTCAAATGAATGATAGTTATTTTAAGTCTGTCACTATATGCATTTTGTCTAAATTAGCATGCTTTTCATTTCACATCTGAATTTAATGGCCATCAGTCAAAGTGGATGGAACCTTGGAAGAGTTACTCATGGTTAACCATTTAAACGAGTCTTCAGCTGTTTATTTCTAGAACAAGAAAGATGTATGCTCTCTATGTTGTGACGACTATTATAAAATTAGAGATTCATTTTTGTTAATAATCAACTTTTTGCTATGTGCTTACTATGGATAAAGTGTGGGGTTCAAATTAACTGTGTTTGGGAAACATTCCCTTTGTAGGTAATCATTTGGCTTGAACTGAGGAGTTGGCTGGACTAGACACTATTTAACTAATCTAATGAGACGGTGTTTTCCTTTGTTAATTTCTTTCCTATGTTTCCTGCAACGGTTGTGTCATATCTTTTGCTTTACATAAGCATTTCTAAGGATTGGTAATAGACAACCGTGTGGATTTTAAAGCAGACACAACTTCTAAATTTCCCCATTTATTAAAAGAAGGATGAACTTGAAGCTCTCCACCCCTGCCTGCCCCGCCCCCAGCCTTAGCCACCCAGGATTTTATATGCTTTTAAATGCTGACTCTAATAGAAAATATTTTTGGAAGCAAATCTTAGGAAGTCTTTGATAAAGATGACGACATTTATGTTCTCTGTCTGAGTTCCCTATCATTTCTCGTTTGATTTTAGTGTGGATCTCTTCCCACAATGTCCCCGTTCTGTCTCTCCCAAAAGGAAGGAACGAGGAGGGTCATCATAGCTGTGCCACTTAGTAGCTCTATAGCTTGGAGTAATTTATCCTCTAGGCCTGAGATACTGCCCTATAAAACATGGATGCTCACAGCACATCCCTAACATAGTTATTGTGGAGATTAAATACAATATTGATTATATAAAGCACTCAACACATTAAAAACTAACAAAAAAGTTGCTATTGATTTTGCCACGCGGAGCCATTAAATTAAAAAAATGCAATATCTACCACGAGACTCATTTAATAAGAGAGATGACATGGCACCATACACAGAGGAGGACATGATCAATCCTTGGGGGCTTCTCTGGGAATTTACCATTTTAATGAAAAACTACTGCATTGCTCTTGTTCTTCATGCTTTACAACAAATCCAGTTCTTTATCTTGAACTGTCACTTGCGGACTCAATTCAGTGAATTTCCCATATTCATTTTGTATCAGAATTTTTCCTACATTATTCTCGTTTCCTCAGAGCCCAGCTGTCTTTCCTAGCATTGCACCGCACCAGTCATATTTTTATTTTTTAAATTAGCAACAAGCTTGCTTCACCTGTCAATCCCTGCTCCCTGTTTCTGTAGGTTGCTAATTTAAAAAGAAAAAAAAATTAAATGACCATCCCTGATAATGAATTTGACGACTACCTTTCATCCAGTGACTGATGGAAGCAGAGGCAGAACCCACAGCTAAACATTGAACTGAACTCCTGGAACCCAGTGACAGAGAGGGAGGAGTGATGAGCAGGGGGGTCAAGACAGGGCTGGTGAAACCCACAGAAACTGCTGACCTGAACAAGGGGGAGCTCTTGGACCCCTGACTGATGGTTGGGAGGCCAGCATGGGACTGATCCAGACTCCCTGAATGTGGTTGTCATCAAGGAGGTCTAGCTAATCTATGGGGCCTTGGGCAGTAGATTGGTATTTATTCCTGGCATACAAATGGGCTTTGGGTGCCCATCCCACAATGAGAGATGCTCTTTCAGCCTGGACTCTTCGGGGAGGACCTAGGCCTCACCCTCCCTGGGAAAAGGAGTGGGGATTGGGGTAGGGGGAGGGGTTGTGGGAGGGTGTGGGAGGAGGGAAGGGAGAGGGAGAGGGACCTGGGATTGACATATGAAGCAACCTTGTTTCTAATTTAAATAAAAAAAAAAGATTAGCAATCTCACCGGTCTTTATAGTGAATGTTGATAGCTTGATGTAATCACCTTTTCAAAATCATATTTATATCGGTAGAGTGGGTAGGGGGTGTTATCTAAATAAGTGATATTATTGGTAGGAATTTAATACCAATTTGTGACTCTGTGGGAGAAGCAAATTGGTGGTGAGTGATCTTTTCAGTATCCCAAATGTCCATTGTTTTGTACTATTACATGGCTTCATTTAGTTTACAGAGATCCTCAACAGAGAGGCTGCAAACTCCTCAGCAGCCCACACAAACCACCCTCAGTATTAAGTACCAATATAAATGAATCCAGTATTGGAAAGCTTTGTAGATTATGCTATATGTAGGCCAGGTATTCAGACCCAAGCCTACTGTATCAAGCAAGGAACACCTCCTACACAGTAGACCTGAGAGAAAAAGGAACTTGGGGTATATTCTTGAAGGGGTTAACAATCCCCCAAAGTTGGCCTTGGGATAGTTTAGGGACAATATACAAACACAAGAATGACTTCGGCGTGTAATGTTCCAAGGGCTGGTGGACAAGAGAGGGCATAGCGCACTTCAGTACTGGTGAGGTCAGGGCTGGGGGCTCAAACCTGAAAATACTTAGTGGTCTCTCTAAATACTCAGCAGTCTCTCTAAGTTTCCCTTTCCTGAACATTGAGTCAATAATAGCTCTCACCTCACAGGCTTGGTAGGAGGACTAATGAGTTAATTCATGTGAAACGCTTCCACACAGTGTCTGTCTGTGGGGATCACTTGGTTAATCACAGCTCTGCTATTACTATGGGTACTGTGACAGGATGTGCCCACCTTGCTGCTAGCCTGCTTCATTAACCACGCATACTTGGTATTTTTGCTGTTTTAGTCACAATGTACTCTGAAATGGCAAAATATGCAAACTCAGGTCAAGATCGGTACATAGGCAAGGCATATCTTGGAGTTCCCCTTTCAGTCGCTTCCACGGAAATCTCCTAGTATTTACTGAACTTCATTCTACTTCCTCAAATCACCTCTCACTTCTCTTTTGTTGCTAATGTCAGTCTTGTCTAGTTAGGCTTGTTTTTAAGAGAGATTTTTTTTCGGTGGGGGATTGTGATTGATAGCACATTCTTTAGCCGTGAGCATACACGACTTGAGTCGTTTACTGAGAGGAACATCTCAATTCACATCGTTTCTAAAGAGTGCCACTTGGCAAGTCTGTCTTGAGATTGTTAGGTTTCATAGTTACAGTCAATTTTCAGTTTATCCACATAAATAAAAGGCTGTCTGGACGGATAACAGAAAATTACAGATTTTAAAATTGTGGCTAATCCACACAGCAGGGTGAAGCCAAGTTTTTCTGTATACTTAGGGATGATGCCAACTGGGCTAAATGAACTTAACCCTGCCCCCCATAATCTCCTCTTTTTTTTTTCTTCTTTTTTATGGATGCTTGGTATACTCTGTCTTCTGTAAAGTACAAAAAAAGAAAGTAACCACTTCAAGTCAACTCTTGCAATAAGACTGTGGTTCCTGCATCCCACTAAGGCACAGGTTGCAATGGCTGTGTTATTTGTCTGGGCCTCTCTCAGTCAGAGAGCAGACCACGCAGTGAAGCTGTGATACCTGGTGCTTTCCAGTGAAGACAGCCCAGACATACCGCCTGCTCCATGCTGCTGTGGGCAGCTTTGGCACACGGCAGGGGATAAGTGGCACAGCTTAGGTGACCCGGAGAGAAGTGGCACCCTAAGATTGCTAGCCATGCCTGCTTTATGAGTCTCCTGTAACTCTCACAGCTCATTTCACACTGCGGGGGCTTAGGGGCCAAAGCTGTTCTACCCCTGATTGTTCGAAGGAAGCCATTCAGTTCTGTTAATCCCCCCGAAGACTCTGATCTTACGGAACTCTTGTTGAGAAATATTTAAGAAAATAATTTTTAATTAAAAAATTATTATCATAGCCGGGCAGTGGTAGTACACGCCTTTAATCTCATCACTCTGTGATTTCGAGGCCAGCCTGGTCTACAAAACTGCAGGAGAAATCCTGTTTCAAAAAAAAATGGATATCACCCAAAACTTTTTTTTATATTAAATAGCATTTTCCCATGGGTTTGTTAGTAGATTTCATGCGATAATAAGTCAAATATCTATAGAGAACTTCTTGACTTTGAACTGAGAGAATAGAATATTATAGGCTTACATACATGAAAACATACCAGATGGGCACAAGAGGGTAAATAAACCAACACTGCCCATTTAGATAGTGCATTGTCTAAACTCTGAAGGAGTTTGGACATGCTTTGGAAGCATGATTTACCCACAAATTCCCACTGTTTGGCTATTACGTATTTTTATTCTAATAGGAATGACAGGAAAAGCATTTTTGAGATGTTATGAAGAAATTTACTATTTCTTGACTCCACTAAAGTTGTGTAGGAAATTGAACAATCAGACTGGAAATCTTGGGACAAGGTGAATTGAGTTGAACTTGGCCATAGAGATGAATCATTTAATTCCAATTCTGCTCTTCAGCCCATTCTTTTCTCCTTTTGTTGTTGTTGTTGTTGTTGTTGTTGTTGTTTTTGTTTTGCTTTTTGAGACAAGATTTCTCTGTGGTTTTGGAGGCTATCCTGGAACTAACTCTTGTAGGTGAGGTTGGTCTCGAACTCACAGAGATCCACCTGCCTCTGCTACCCAAGTGCTGAGATTAAAGGCATGCGCCACCACACCTGGATCCTTCTTTTTCATTTTTTCTTTATATTTGCAGCCTGTCTCCATGTTCACATTAATTCTGTGGCAGGTTTTAAATTGTGCTTAAAAGTAACATGCATGATTTCTGTTCTAGTTCTATTCAAATTTTACATCATTTTTTAATGGCAGCATAATACTCCATTGTGTAAATTACCACATTTTCTTTATCCATTCTTCTGTTGAAGGACATCCAAGTTGTCTCCCGTTTCTGGCTATCAAGAATGGCGCAGCAATGAATGTGGTTGAGCAAGTGTCCCTGCAGCAAGATGAAGAATAATTTGGGTATATGGCTATGCAGGATCTTGAGGTAGATTGATTTCTATCTTTCTGATTTCTATAATGGTTGTACTAGCTTTCTCAACATAATTTGTGAGAGTATAATTCATTTCAGGGTTTCTAAAAGGCTAAATGTTTCAAAAACATTAATAATTGTTTTATAATTCCAAGAAAATATTTCTCTTTTAAAATAATCTAAAGTGGACATACAAATTTATTTGCAAACATTTAGCATTATTTATAAGAAAACACTGGTGAGTATTATGTGTCTATTGCTCAATGTTGCTCTTGCTGGCTGTAGGTTTTGGTTTGTATATGTTTTTACCTTTCTTTTCCTGGAATATACTTGAAATTTGTTATCATTGTATATAGTTTTTGCATCAGGCATAAAACCTTTTCCTTTAGACTAAAATGGTAATTGTAGTAGCATCTTGACTTGTCAGTGTTAGTGGCCACAACCCTTTGGGTGTGACTTTAGGTGCATATGTGACCTAAAGATAGAGAAGTCTCTCTCTCTCTCTCTCTCTCTCTCTCTCTCTCTCTCTCTCTCTCTCTCTCTCTCTCTCTCTCTCTCTCGGGTCATGGATTGCATCAGAAAGGCAAAGACTGTATCTTCTGGAGCAGGAACTCTGTGGTGGTTCTGTACTATTATCTGTGTAAGTTGTTCCCCAATAAAACTCCCAGTTATCATTTACTTTGGGTCTAGTGAATGCATTAGTACCCTGCCTTCACTGGTGTGGCTAGAGAAATGGTTCAGCAGTTAAGAGTATTTACTGCCCTTCCAGAAAACAGGTTCAATTCCCAGCACCCACATGGCAGTTCACAGCGGTCTGTAACTCCAGTTCCATGGGACCTGACACCCTTACCCAGATATATATGCAGGCAAAGCATCAACATTTAAAAAGTAAATACTTTTTTAAAAAAAGTAAAGAGAAAATAAAACATTGGTAAAGATATGTATGGTGACTGTAAGACGCTGGGTGTTGTAGAATAAAGGAAAACAAGTCACAAATATTATTGAAGGCAAAAAAAAAAAGAAAGAAAGAATGGTCTAGAGAGATGGCACTGGTTGTTCATTCAGAGGAGCCAGGTTCAATTTTCCAGCACCCACATGATAGCTCACAACTGTCTGTAACTCCAGTCCTGGGGGACTAAGTGCTTTCTGACTCCCACATGCAAACATACACTTGGTGCAAGACATACATACAGGCAAAACATCTACACACATAAACTAAGTTTTAAATGAAAAAGTAAAATAATGCATGCAATTGTATCTCAGTTTACTTAAATGCGCCTATAATCCATGCATACAAAAATCCAAAAGACATGTAATAAGAATTCACTCATGGTTGTGTTTGAAACGTGGGTTGATAGGTAGTTATTCTGTGTTCTTTGGTGTTTCATTCTCATATTTTCCTATTTTTTCTAATGAGCATGCCCCTCTATGACTGAAATGAAATAACAGCAAACATGTTTGATTTTACTGAATATTCTTCAACTAACCAGAGGTTAGTTTACTTATATTACTGAAAACAAAAGTACAGAGACTTTTATTGATTCTCAATAAATTTGATTTGTTGATGGAAGACATATAATTAAGTGGGTTTCTGAAATTAGGTATAATTACAGGTTTAATTTCATCATTTCTTCTACTTATTACAGATTTTGGTAGGAGATGTATTCTATATCTCTTTCTTAAATGTGCAGACACATATTTTTTCACCTAATAGGAAATATTGTTCCAGACCTACAAAACTAGCCATGCAATTTTCATTTTTTAATAAGAGTACATAAATTATTGTCCAGTGTGGTGGCATATGTCCTTAATCCCAGAACTCAAGAACCAGAGGCAAGCAGATCTCTTTGGTGAGCATGGAGTTTCAGGTTAGTTAAGGGCATCATAGGGAAACCCTGCAATCCTGCCACATGACTTTTATCCTTCCTCCATCCTGTATGCCCACTCCCACTGTGTCTCACTGGTGACTCTTGCACACCTAGATTCTCACCCTCAGAGTTCTTCAGTCTGTTTTCTCTTGCTTAGCTCTTAGCTATTTAGCTCTTTATTAAACCAACCAGAATAAAACAGCAACACATTTTCACAGTGTGATCAAATATCCTGAAATATTTCCACCCCTTTTGTCTAAATAAAAAGGAGAGGGTTTAACTCTAACACAGTAAAACTATATACAATAAGAACAATTCTCAGGTAAGAATTACATTCACAACGTCCAGTCCACTTGTATTTGGCAAGTTTAGAAAAAGTACTCTATTGTCTATCCTATCTTGATGAATCCAAAGTTTTATACCTAAACTACTTTCTATCTTAACTTGTATTACGATCCTAAAAATATCTTTTTAGACCGTAAAGCATTTTCTTTGATAAAAAATTAAACTTTTATGTTTTTCAACCTTATAAATTTTACATCTCTTCTATAAGTTTCTTTTCTGAATTTGGTAACAAGGAAAACTATAAAGCTGTAACTATCTAGCAGTCAACCCCATCGGAGACCCGATAAGGCTATAATGTTGCCCAAGTAAACAGGAAGTGCAGAGCAAGCAACTGCCCAAACTAGGAAATGACAAAGACATCTGACTGCCTCGATAGTCACCCACGCTTCCTCTGCACCATTAGGGCAACCGTCATTGACCTACAGGCCTAGAATATCTGACAGACTTTTCTGTGAAGCAGGAATTTTGAAGGACTGTTCTACCTCGTCTAGGTAAAGCTCCTCAGTCACTTTCTTTTGTGTCCTGCTTGCTCAATTTGGACAGCATACTATCTGCAGTTGAGGCAAGGGCATTTTCCTGCCAGGCGGCTAACTTTGCCACAATGAAAGCAAACTCCATATGGAGGTTCTTTGATGCCTATCATCTTCTCTAAAGTAGATTGGTGCTGCCAGGAGCAGATGTGTCTTACTGTCATGAAAAGCCTTATGTTATTAAAACATTAAAATGCCATGTACTATAGGTCTCTGAAGTGTCTGAAGGCCACTTATGTATCTAAAATGTATCTCTGAGTACATACCTAACATGACTACAAGTTTGATAGTTATAGACTAACTACTAACCTGAATTTATTAATTATCCTAAACAGTAATAATAGATTTCATGAACTAGAACTATACATTACATTTTTAAATGAACTCCATAGGTAATAATACCTTAAACAAGAGTAGAAGCATATATAGAGTATAATAGCAAAAATAACCTTAAATTTGTATCAATGTACAAAATATTTGATACAAGAGTAGAAGCATATATACAATATGTTATAACAAAAATAACCTTAATTTGTATCACTACATAAAAATCCATACTATGTAAGATATTTGAGATTAATAGTTACTTTTTAGTCTAAAAGTAGATTCAATAATCTATGCTTTTATCCTATCATTCCTATATACCCTTTTCTTTTCTTTCTTTTTTTTTTCCAGAAAAAGGTCCCTCGTCTAATCTCCTTTGATTAGTCTCCTCTCTGACCATGACCAATTTACAACCTGAATGATGATAAACATCCATGATCCACCAAATGAACAAAAGACACCCACCACACCTCTTGTGAATATGGGCATCAATATCTGATCTTTATCAATTTTGAAGAAATCCATAGCTTTTTGTTTCCTGTAGAACAAAAGCATAACCCCTCTCTGTCCAAAAGTCTTGCCTATTTTCCACTGTCTAGCTATCAACCACTCAGCTCATTATTAAACCAATCAAAACAAAACAGAGGCACAGTTTTACACAGTGTGATCAAATATCCTGCAAGATGTTTCTATAGCGTTCTGTGGTGCAAGTTTGACTGCTTGTTGGTCTTGTGGCCAACATTGCCAGAGTAGAAGGGCAATTACACTCTCTGAAACAAAAAACACTTGCCTGTCCTTTTATAACTAGAACCAAGATTAATTTATATATTGCAAGCCAACAGGAGCCCTGGGATAAATAGAGACTTTGACCAGTGACAGCTTCTATACACTTTCAAACTACCCAGTGGCTCCCTTTCTCTCTCTCTCTCTCTCTCTCTCTCTCTCTCTCTCTCTCTCTCTCTCTCTCTCTCTCTCCTCTCTCTTTCTCCCTCTACCTTTACTTTTATCCCTCCCTCTTTCCCTCTCTTCCTCTCTCCATCTCCCCCCCTCTCCCCTTCTCCCTCCCTGCCTCTGTCTTTTTATGTTACGGATGTGGAAGCCCAAGGTCAACCTTCAGCTCCAAACTCCATAAGAAGTGTTCACCTTGCTGCTTATCTTTGAGACAGGGTCTCACACTGGGTGTGGTGCCTGACCATCAACCTCCAGGTCTCTGTCTTGGATTACAAGTACCTACCACCATATCTAGCATCCCATGTAACTCAGATCAAACTGACTTCCCCATGCTTGCATAGGGTCTTAGTGTTGTTTCCTGTGACTTTGGCAAATATTCCTATCAAAAGTGGCTTAGGGGATAAAGATTTATTTTCATTCACAATTGTGGATTATAGTCTATCAGTAAGGAGACTTAAAGAAGTTCATTGCATTCATAGTCATGAACAGAGAGAGTGGATGCATGGAAGATTCCCAGGGCTCAGCTCTCTTTCTTCACCCATGCACAGTCTAGGAACCAAATGCAAGGAAAGGGGCTACCACAATGGGTGGGTCTTCCCATCTCAGTGAACATAACTGTCTTAGTTGATTTTTAATTACTGTGAAGATACCATGACCAAGGCAACTTAGAGAAGAAAGAGTTTATTGGGAGTTACAGTTTCAGAGGGTGAGTCCATGATCATCAAAGCAAGGAACATGGCAGCACGGCAGCAGGCAGTCATATCACTGGCGCAGAATCTGAGAACTTACATTTTTATTCACAAACATGAAGCAGAGAGAGAGAGAGAGAGAGAGAGAGAGAGAGAGAGAGAGAGAGAGAGAGAGAGATGCTAGGGAAGGATATGGGCTTTTGAAACCTCAAAGCCTACCCCTAGAAATATGCCTCCTCCAACAAGGATACAACTGCAAATCCTTCCCGAACAGTTCCACCAAACAGGGGCCAGGTATTCAAATATATAAGTCCATGGAGACCATATTCATTCAAACAACCACAATAATCAAGTCAGTGCTCTACAGACATTCCCATAGGCTAACCTGATTAGACAATCACCCATGGACTCTTTCCAGAGAACTCTACAGTGCATCAATTTGACAATTAACACTAACCATCGCACATGGCCATTACTTGGCTGCCCCAGCTAGCTACCCAGTGATGGGGGAAGTCCTGTGTATGTGCTTATCTTATTGGTTGTTGAATAAAGCACTGTTGGCCAATAGAGAAGCAAGATAGGTGGGACTAGGAGTTGAGAAGGATTCTGGGAAAGAGAGATACAGGCAGACATGATGTAGGCCGCCATAGGAGTAAGAAGTCCAGACCCTTTTCTCCAGTAAGAGAAATACTTAGATTAGCAATCATGGGTTAAATACTTAAGTCAGAGCTAGCCATTAAGAAACCAATCAAACGGCCAACAGCTTCATAATTAATATAGTGCCTTGTGTGTTATTTGGGGACTGTAACTGACAGGGCCCAAGAGGCTGGAGGGAAAAACTACACGTTACAACCCAGCCCTCATTTTGTTCTTTGGATTCACTCAGTCCCCACCTCAACCACTCCTGCTCAGATTGTTTAGAGTTTAAACAAATATTTTCTCTAATTTAGCAACAGAACTGGTTTCATTCCAACAAAAGACTCACAGAAGTTGAGTGCAATCATAACGTAAACAGAATAATCTCCCAGTGACTTGGGAAGAGAATATTTTCAACAACAGGTGGCAAAGCAGATTGCGTTACAGGAAGAATTAATATTCATTAAAAAAGGGGTCGTCTCAGCTCTGTCTGAAAGGTAACCAGAAATCTTGTGAATGAATGCAAAATGTTTATATTCCCAGGCCTACTACAAGGCTGCAAGAGTTTTGTAGCTTTGTATTAAAACCTGTCAAAAATTATGAGACAGTCAAAAGGTGCTCTGTGTGACTTTAATGGAGTCTCTCTCTCTTTTTTTTTTCATTTTAATTGAAAAAAAGTTAATGAGTAACTGTAGCAAGTGTTGATCCGTGCTGGGAAATCCTTGAAATGAAAATGAATGGGCTAAATTTATTTTTTTTTAAATCTTGCATGTTTTAAATGCCGAATTTTGAAGCTTTCCCTAAATGTTAATGGGCCTTGGCCGATTCGCTTGTGTTTCCAGACATTTTTATTTTCATTTCTCTTCCTTTCTATATGAATCTGAGAGAGCAAATAACGCAGATGTTTAAAGTGGCAGAGAAAGTGCTTGGCTTTAACATCACACACAGTTGCTACCTTTGCATTTCTGCCACTGCTTATACTTTGCATGCATCCCTATTAATAATGTATTTCATTTACTGAGCATGGAAAGAAGGTATAAATGTTTCTTTGTAAAAAAAAAAAAATCCTTGACTACTGCAGGCTAATGCAACACCAGCACATTTCTGGTTACTCATGGTTAACTCAAGAGACACGATCTTTTGAATCCCAGATTGAGCACTTCAAATGCTTGGGCTAATTTCCTCGAGATCACATCTTTAGCCACCAACTGGTGAACACGCTGATGACTCGCCTCTAGATGGAAGGTTATACTTGCAATTTGTTGGTATGATTTGACGATGACATTTATCTCATAGCATCTGGCCCCTTCTTGACACCGCCTCCACTTTCTGATAAACCACAGAAATTTCCAGGTGACCTTGAGAAGCAGGAGATGTTGTAAATGGCAAGTCTTTCTCTTCCTCTGTCCCCCAGCCCCCAGGAGATTCTTAAACTTTTCCTCTACCTGTGCTACTTTTCATGCCTCACAGGCTGTAGAACCCTGACATATCTCCTAGAAATGGCTAGTATCAGAAAAAACAAAACATAGACTTCGTTTGAAGTTAGATACAGTTATTTGCTGTATTGTATGCTCCTGAGACATCATCTCCCTATGTCGTCCAAGCTGATTTCAAATCCACAGTCCTTCTTTCTACCTCAGCTTCTGCCACATTTTGTTCATTTGCCTTTGGGAGAATGTCACCCTTTCTGAGTTCTCAGTAACATCACATGAGAAATAGGTTCAGATACTAGGGCACTGAAAAGAATTGTTTTTGATGATTGAGTCCCCAGGGTTTCAGCTAGGTCAAAACCTCCATTCATAAGTTTTTTTGGAATGCTATTTGCATCTCTTAGTGGGTAAATTTCTTTCAACCCTGGACAGATTTACATTTAGAAAGGTTAAAACATACCTGGCTGGTAAGATGGCTCATCAGATAAGTGCACCTGCTGTCAAGCCCAAAGACCTGAGCTTGATACCAGGACCCACATGGTGGAAGCAAAGAACCGATGCCTTCAAGTTGTCCTATAACTTCCAGGCTCATGTCGTGGCATGTACACACACACACACACACACACACACACACACACACACACACACGCACGCACGCATGCACGCGCGCACACACACACACAAGCACACGCACACACACACTGTGCATATTACACACACAGAGTACATGAAAATTCAATAAAATTTTAGAGACAAATCATTACATATTTGGCATTTACAATTATTTATTAATCATTATTTTGTGTGTACCCATGCATGAAGGTTAGGGGACAGATTTGTGGTGTCAGTTCTGTCCTTCTATTTTTATGTGGATTCCAGGAATCAAACTCAAGTCACGGAATTGTTTGGCAAGTATTTTTGACCCACCGAGCCCTCTTGCCAGACAGACCACTTTGTTTTCATAAATAGATCTCAAATGCATATACCTGCCTGTTAACAATACCACATCATTAACACTTCTCTGTGAATTTTTCCTCTTACTTGAATTCAGTTCAAATATACTATAACATAATTTATTCTTTCTCCTAGACAACCAAAATTATTTTAACTGAAATACATGTATCCATTTATAGGTTCCAGAAACATTTTCTAAACCCCTGTAGAGAGCTTATGTTCTAGTTGTAGGTGCTTCCTCGGGAAACTGGACAAAAGACAGGCCATCTCTCGTGTGGGAACATTGATGAGTTTCAATCAGGGTGACAGACGCAGGCAGGTGCAGTAGTTCAGGAGAAACTGGTTAGAGTGGGAGCCGGCGTGGGAAGTCCTGTGAGCATGGGGCAGTGCTGCCTGGGACCCAAGAGAAGTGGAAAGAGTCATAAAGTCATATTTCATTCAGAGTCCAGGATCAGAGCTCAAAAGAGGTCCCCGGGGCTTTCTCACTGTTATTTGCCAAAAAAACCCGTCAAATTTCTCATGTCTGAAGGGCTGAAAGTCACGTGACCGAATGAGTGAAGAGGTAATGAAGGGCATTACCTGACTGTAAAGCAAAGGTCATTGTAGAAAATAACTCACTGCATCCTAAGGCTGATCTTGAACTCAAGACCCTCCTTCCTCTGCCTCTCAGATGGTAGGGTTGAAGGCATTTACCACCAAGTTAAAATTAGTGTGGAAGTTCCTTGCCCTGAGATATTTATGTGTGAGGAGGAATGAACTGACTATACCAGCAGCAAGGACAAGAGAAATGGGTAGCCCATGCCACAGTATGCCCAATATTAGGGCACCTTTGACATGATCACTGCTGTGACGTTCACGTTTGTGTCTCTCCAAATTCACATATTGATATCCCAACCTTCAAGGCAATGGTATTCAGCAAAAGGGCCTTAGGGAAATGAGCAGATCATAAGGGAC